ACTACAGGAAAAAAACAACGAAAAACACATTGGGTACCCTTATTCTAACCTCTCTACTGGAGGGCCTTATTGGTAAAGTGGTGGAGATGGAACTCCCACGTTGGTATCGCACGTTTGTTCGATGTCACGTAGGACGTCGGGCTCTGGATGTGCTGCTGCTGGTGCGCTGCGGCGCAGGAAGCGCGCCAGGTGGGTCCCGCGCACGCATCTCGCTAGGGTAGCACTCGAGGGCTTCTGCAGAAGACTGCAGTAAGGTCGGGCGAGCACAGTCTTGGGGGTAAGCTACTGAGTTAGGTCGGTAGGCCCGCCCCAAGGTGCCGTGATGTATTCTAGGTGCTTGAAGTCTGAACCTTGTGCGTTGGTAAACAAGCTCAAGTCCAAACGGGCGGATTGGAGAACGAGGTGACCCAACATACCCAACCAAACCATGTAGCACAAAACTGCCGCTAGGTTGGGACGAGCGAACGGCGATCTGCATCAACCAACCTAAAGCTTTTGTTTGGATAGCTGACAATGGGGGTTCTGCAAAAGCAAGCGACGTAAAAAACCGATGATTTGGCCGGGGGTGATGCTGTGGGTGATGGTGAGGTGCCTGTGCAAGTGGGAGGTGGTGAAAAGGGTTAATGAGAGCAAAGGTCTGAGTTCACGTTGATTACTGTCTCTGGGTATTTGGATCGCGTGTTTGGATCGCCTGTGGGCATTAACGAACTTGATGGCTGCTCCCCGGAACCAAACTTTGCAGTTGGTCGGGGTGCTTCCGCCTTTGCAGCAGAAGGACCCCATGGTTCCTTGTGCCCTCATTTGGGTCTGTCATGAGGGCACACCTTTGCGCGGGGGGTTAAAGGGGAAGCGAAGAGGAAAACCCTCAAGTTTGGAGAGGCCCCCTTGCCAAAAGACGCGCTTCTTGCGGATGCGTGGTAAAGATCGATCTCTCAGGGATTGGTTTGGATGAAGACCAGGCGTTCCTTTCCAGAACCCTTGTCGCTCGGTAGAGGTGCGGCAGACCAAGAAGATGGAGGTCTGAAGGCGAAGACGACCGCGGGCGAACGCACCCAAGACGGCCGCAAGGGGTCGCTTTACTTTGACAAATGGCGGTGGGTCAAAACCAATGGGATCCCATTTGGGGGTACAGTAGGTGCACCACCCATTTTAGATCCCATTTTAGTGCGGCAACAAGAGGGAAACTTAAGCTCCACCGACATCCCAACTGCTTTTTTGGATACTTGGGATTTCGGACACGGTTGAAAAAGCGGGCAAGTTGGTGGACCCGGGTGCTGGTAGAACAACCTTCCATGTGTTGAACAAGGTTTTTTTTCCGCCTGGCTGTTCTTGGGGACTTAAGCAAATGGAACTGTCTAAAATTAGATCCTTGGAGGTGCTTGAATTGTTTTCGGACCTTCTGAGACCCTGTAAGTGGAAACTTATGTTGAACAGTGTGTTGATTCCCCCGAGTAAGCCACATGTTTTCATGTTGATATGGGCAAACATGAATGGAGGGTCGCGTTTTCCCCTGCTGGGGGTGGGACGCAGGGTTTGATCCTGGTTCAATCTCTTCAAGGACGTGTTTTTTTTGAGGGTAAAGTACGCCTTTGTGTGTCCTTTTCACAGGAACCATCTGATTTTTTGGGGTGGGGTCCAACAGAACCCAAAGAACATTTCAAGAACTTGCCCACTTATGCGGGCCCCTTGGATCCTTTTTTGGGGCTTAACAGAAGGGGCCCAGCCGCGATACATTCCAAGGGTCTTTGCCAATTCTGAGTTGCATGGCTGTTTTCGCGTACCTGGAGTCTCCTTCTGACCCTTTAGAAATGGTTGGCTCATTACCCGAAATGGTCATGGACCTATTTTTTTATTTCGGGTCAGAAGGAGAGACTAGGTAGTTGCTGAAAGTCTACTTTTTGCCGTGTCCACTTGTGCCTGCCACATGCCGCTGCAACACGTGAGGAATGTGTGGCAGACCCTGCCAGGCGTGCACGCCAAAAGCAGGTTGACGCCCTTTCACGTTGGCACTTGTCTTGGTCAAGGCGGTGTTTCTTGACATGTTGCGATCCATTGTACATTGCAGGAGATTGCAGGTTTTTCCCGACAAGGGATGGGAGACCAACAGGAGACCAGCCATGTTTCGGTGTCACGCTCCCGGGCAGCAGTGTGTAAACCGGTTCCAGGTTCTCATGCCTGCGGCCCAGAACCGGGGTGAAGCTTTGGGATTTTTCACCGGAAGTAGAGAGCAGTTATCAGAGCATGTCCAAGCAATCAGATACCCCAGAATCGAGGGTTCAAGTTGTCTCGCAGAAACACGTGTGACTTGTGTTGCTCCGGCAGGCACACTAGAATCTGCCATGCAAGTACACCTTTCCTCGGCTTTGCAGACGTAGGAACTGCTTCCGTGCAGCAGAAGACAACTCATACTGCCCGCGGTCAGCAGCCAGGCCTACCACAACAACCTGAGGAGGACGAAATGTCTGCCGGATGATGCTTCCGAGCGGGTGAAAATGGGTGGTGCTCAGTCGAATCCAGGACAACAGAAGATCTGACTGACAGTGATCTTGGGAAATGTCGCTACCTTCCTACCCAATTTTATGGACGGGTGCGGAGACCCTTGGTAGTTGTGTCCCCGAATAAAGATGGCTCCTGTGAATCACGTGCTTGCGACGTATGGTGCGCCCAAATCTTTGGTGCATGTGTTGTTGGATCCTTTGGACTCCCTAGGCTCGGTTGTGCTGACACTAGGTCCCCCAGTAGTACCCTTTTACCAACTTTTTTGGGGGAGGGTTCCCCTACTAAAATAGACTACGAAGAAAAACATCGGGTACCCTTATTCCAACCTCTCGACTGGAGGACCTAGGACATGTTGGATGGGTTATAAGCAGGAATTTGGATCCTTTCTGATGCTACACACATTATCATCCTTTGGTGCAAGCTAGAGACCTTTTAGTAGAACCTGTTTCCCCTGAAATCAAGGAAGCCGGCACGCATACTGGAAAGCTGACTGGGACAGGGTGGGTTCATAGACATGCGCCAGTTTGCACATGCGTTTTGTTTTTTTTGCAATCTTGCGGCCAACAGGTTCTGCTCACACACCGAAGAGTTCGACGTTTCGTTTCTGCTATGGTTCCCTGAGTCAATCCCTTGCAACACAGCTTGGCGCTCAGTTGCCCAATACCGACCTTGTGACCTTTTTGCCCTTGTTGGTCCCTGTCAATTTCCAGGTCCGCGCCCATCTCCCAAGGTCAGTGGCCAACGTCGGTAGGGGCTGCTCACTGGCTCCGCCTCTTTTGACTGAGGCACCTCGGTTTGGGCGGACCTGCTTGGTGGTGCTGGCACTGGTTGGGGGGAGGGGCGGCACTGCCAGCGCAGGATTTGCAGGAGTGTTGAGTGCACTGTTGGTTCTTAGATGAATAGATTTGTTGATTTGTTTCGGCAAGTGCAAACTGACCACATGATCAAGCTGGCTGACTTGGAAACAGTCGGATTTGCTGTGCTTCCTTGAGCCCATGCTTTGCGCACTGTAAATGAACAGTGCTATCTCAGGACATTGTTGTTGCTGCCTCATGAATCATATACGGATGCACATCGCTTTCCGTCCTTTGCATGCCGGTCTGAAGCTGCTTGATGTTTGTGCCTTCGTTTTGCTGAGATTTGGCCCATCAGGGAATAGGCTCATGGCCTAGCTGTCAGCAGTACATGATTATGGTTGTGTTGGTTTTTTTCAAGAGTCTGCTGCTCTGCTGCCGCTGAGCCGTTATAAATATGTCGGTTGTCGCGCGCCAACAGCGCCAAGGGTCGCAGTATGAAACCCTAGCAGAGTTCTGCCGAACGAAAGGCTGCGGGCGCCGAAGCTCTGCAGCTCTTGTGCTTGAATCACATGCTTGTGTCCCACAACAACCCCCTCGATGACCAAATGTCCAAAGTTGGGTGCAACAGACTTGTCTCACTCAAGACCTCTCCCGCGACGCGTCCCAGGATGTGTCCCGGAAACTCCCACAAAACTTTGGCATTTTGCTTGGATGTTAGGACTTTAACTTTTGGCCAACTAATGGGTTGTCCATTAAACTACTAAAAAATAAAGTTTTAGCAGGGGATCAGAAAGCAACCGAGAAAAGGTGTGTCGAAACCGCCCATTTTTTTGGCAAAGGATTTGAGCAGCGGGCTCAGCAGATGAGGGCCGTGAAGCCGCCATCCTTCAGCATTCATGCGCGAATTGACGCGGAGTGTGGATCGGATAGTGCGAGCTGGCTGGACTGCCTCGTGCCACCGGCAAGCATTTGACATGGAAACAACCTTGGACCGAGGTTAAACAGAACCCTTCAACAGCCAGGCCAAACTACAAGAGCTGCCACCGAACTGGTTCGAATTTCCGATGTAGATTGAAATATGTGTGTATGTGTGTAGAATTAGAAACCTTCCTTTTTTCACAATGACACCTACTGACGGTGCGTACCCTAATTGGCCAATGCAATTTCTCGCAATCCTCATATTTGGGTTTGCTAGGTTGCTTGCAACGCTTGTTGCGTTGCAGTGGCAGTAACATGTATACGATACGGGAGGTAATGGCGAGATATTGCTTGGCCATGGACTTGTGCCCCTGGATCCTTACATTCATCTCGGATGTAAAGCCATTTAGGACGTGAGCAGCTGCAACAAAGTCAAACTTTCTGCCCAATGCCTGTTGCCTATTTGTGCAAGCCAAAGCCAATGACAGGGGCTCTGTGACTCTGTGTTGTAATTTTCCGAGGGCTATTTTGTTATGTTGCCCCCAGATGAAGAAGCCAAAGGGGACAACCCCATTCATCAAACAGTTATATCAATCTGGGGTCAATATTCTGCCTTGTGTCGGCTCACTTTTGCATTTCGGACTTTGCACCTGGGAAGACCATTTCAGTGGCAAGTAAACAGTTTGGTTGCTGCCTGGGCCATCCACTCAGTGACTCAGGAAGTGGGTTTGCCTTTGTTCCCCGTTCGCGAGCGCGCCTTGCCGGCACCTGCTTTTTGGTTGGCTCCAGAACTCGGAGGAATAGCTCCTGGCTGTGGACCCAGGCCGCGAATAGCTCCTGGAGTGGGTGGGCGTCAAAGTTGGCTTCATTTGAAGCCATCCAAAACAAGGTTCTGAGATTGGGGCAGGCGAGCAATCCATACATAGGTGTCCTTTTTGGTTGTTTTGGTAGAAACATGGATGGCCCTGGTTTACCTGGTGGTTTAATCATCTACCAGGGCCATCTATGAATCCATACCTGCCTTTTCAGAGTTGGTTAAAATAGGTGGCGCTGGTTTACCGTAGCCATTCTGGCTCAAGTTGCCATTTTGGCACAAAGATGGGTGGTCTTGGGGCTATAATCTGTAGCCGCAATGGCCGCCGAACAAGAAAATGCTGGCTCACCTGATAGCAGGCTTACTGCCTTTTTGCGGGGTACAAAAGTTGCTTTCAACAACTTGCTCGACTACAGGCAGGCGCCGATTGACAGCGTGCGAACGTTATACGAATGCTTCGCGGGCACGTCATTATTTGCTGCTGCGAGCCAGCGTGCCAGGTCGGCCGATATACAGGGGGGCCACTACTCCGTTCTGGCGGTATTGAAATACCACTTGGGGTATTGCCAGCCGGGCACGAACACGAGAGCATCAATGGACGGGAAATATCCGTTCATCGTTGGCGGCCGAGCTGATAGCCCTCGCTTTGCGAGGTTGGTGCCGACGTTCCCGCCTCCGGCGGGCATGAACTATCGGTTGGCGGTAGCCCAGTCGATGAGCGCTGAGAGCCTGCAGCGAAGCTACGGGGTCTACGGCGTAGACCGCTGGTTCCGGGTGGTCCGCCACAATCAATGGCCCGTCAAGAAAAGACGTTGGCATGGGCTGCCATCACTAGCTCACTGGGCTTGATGGCAAGCCAGGACGTATGTCACTTCGCCCTTTGGGCTCTTGTTTGGTCAAACATGATGGCGATCACCGTAGCCAACTCCGGCGAGTTCGGGACTACTTCCTCTGAGTGCATCGGCTTGGTGCGCCGCGGCGGTTGCCTTACTGAGCTGCAAGCTATCCGCGCCCGTCTGCTTCGTGGCAATGCTGTGGTCATAGAGACAAGTTATGACAACATTGTTACATACGGTGCAGCGATCAGATTTTTACTGGCGGGCTCAATGCCATTGAGGTCTACGGTGGAATTTGACGGGGCTGCGCCCGGTGGAACTTTGATTCACGAAGCGGCTGGCGTGCCACGCAGAGTGGTACCGACAGGTGAAGCGCCACGAGCGGTTCAAACTCTTGCCATGTTTTTTGATTAAGTTGCCTTCCACCTTCGGCTTCATCACCCCTGGTCTCGTTTCTGGGGGGCCCCTTGGGCGCCTACGTGGAGAGTGACCTCGCTGTGCTAGGCGGCACGCTGCTTGGCTTTGAGGGCATATGAGATATCCGCTCGTTTCAGTCACAAGTCCGAGACCAGCAGCACCGAGAATCCTCTTGTTCTTTGCGATTTGTGCTGCTGTGCGGCGCGAGGGTTGCATCATGGCCATGCATGATGCGGGAGAAAGCCAAGTGAACTCTCGCTCTTCTTTGGTGCACCGGCTTGCGAAATCACATGGCAGATGGCCTGAACTTGACCTCGGTCGGCATGGATCACGTACTCTCAAACGTAGTCTCAAAAGAGCTAGCAGACGGGCTCAGGTTTCGGGATATGCATGGTATAGAGGTCGCTACGTGACAGCTAGGCAGCTGGGGGTGGATGTGATTGGTCCATCGCCGCAAGTGCCTGCTCGCTCTCGTAGCGCGCCTCGCCCACAGAAGACCTCAGGGGGTCCAAAGTTGCAAATCTTTTGCTGGAACGCAGGTGGCCTTATGCCCTTTGCTATTCATGAGCTTGCTTCCTGGCTTCGCTCTGGGCATGATTCAGGAAACTCATTGGACCTTTGACAACGAATGGCAAACTGATGGCTGGCATTGTGAAGGATGGTCGTGGTTCTGGGGTCCTTGTCATGGTTCGCGCAGACGTTTGTCATGCTCAACAGATTGGGTATCATGTTCTTTGGCCAGGTCGTGCGGTACATGTTCGCTTGCACATTGCGCCCAGGCCGCGAGATTCTGAATGTTTATCAGTTTGCATTTAAGCAGTCGGCGCTTACTTCTCGGTCTCAGCTCTGGGATGTTTTACACAAATGGATGAAGATGCTTCCTCTTCGGAATACCCTGGTACTTGCGGGCGACTGGAACACTAGTGTAGGGGCGTTGCCGCGGTTAGTGGGCACAACGTGGCACAGAGGAGGCCATTCTTCGAGTGAGGCACTGTAGACATGTGGTGCGTCTTCGCTCTGAGCTTCGAAGCGCGCCTCATAATCGTGCTCGAGGAGTTGGCTGTCAAGAGGCCTTTGGCGGGCTCCTTCTCAGCCTTGATCTGCAGCGAGCGTTTGACACGGTCTCTAGACCTGCTCTATTCCGTGCCCTTCAACAGATTGGGGTTTCCAGTAGCTTGATTCAGCTTCTTCATGAGTGGCATTGCGATACAGTTTACCA